CACACACACACACACACACACACACGCCCTGCCCATGAATTGGGGTCAGTGGAATAGAAAAGCAAGGCAATTGGGAGCCAGCAATTAAAGATTTCAACCCGTGACAAGCTGAGAGATGTGAGAGAAAAGGTATGCCTGAATGGATTTTTGTCTCCCAAACTCCCCCGCATCAGTGGGAACAGACTGTATGGCTGGAGAAAAATGTCCCGGAGGAGAGAAAACGGGTCACGTCAACCCAAGCTACAACGTCTGCAGCAGAAGTCTTCCTCCGACACCCCCAGTAAGATAAGAAACTAAAGAAGCTTAATCTTTCCGAGGTGGCATCTCGGCAGGTCACCTGTCAGGGTAGCTCCCTGAGTTGCAGTATGAAGCACCTGACTCAGGAGACAAGGGTAAGCTGGTGTCACCCATTCTCCTCTCCAAGCCAGGAACTGCCAGTGGGCTGCACACACCCAGAAGCAGGAGCACCTGTGTCTCAGTTACACAAAGGCACCCCCTCTAGGGGCCAGCGGTGCTCAGGTGTCCCCCCAAACACCCCCGTCACAGCCAGAACCCTTACCTGGCAACACTGGGGTGGCGCCTGGCACTTCTGTGAGTATGCTGAGACATTGCAGCCACTTTTACTCAGTTCCTTTGCTGCTCCCAGCGGGCACGGACGCACTAAAGCAACTTCCTCTTGCCTTTTACTCACCCAAATAGGTAACACACCTGAGCGTGCTACTCAATGGATTTACCAGGACAGCTGAAAACCAGAGCGTTTTCACAAAGAAGGCACTACAAAAACTGCCAATTCCCTCAGCATAACCTGAAAGTCAAAAGAGGACTCTTTACATAAGTCCAAGCCTTCTCAAAAACTTTATAGTAGGACCGTCAGCAGTCTTTATTTAGACCGAGTTTCTCAAAACTGTACCTCGTTAGAGCTTGTCAGGCTGAGGGGTTTTCCACAGTTCTGAGCAACGTTTTTCATCTTTACACAGAGTTGGCAGCTGGCAGGCCACTGGCAGTCTCTGGACGCACAGCTCCTGTGCCCGTCATGCCCTGACCAGTATGCTTCCAGCTCCCCGCGTGCTTGGTAACCACCAAGGAACTGCTGATGAGAAAGCCTCCCTTTCCTATGACAGACAGCACAGCCTCCTGCAAAGAGAAGCCTGCCTGACGCTTACGTGGGATTGATTGAATGATAGGGAACAACTGCCAACAAGGAGGCAGTTGGCTATCCTTTCCTCAACACACGTTTTGTTTGTTTTTGTGTTTGTCCCCTCAGAGAGCCTTTTGTGGCTTTTCATCCAGCAGATTTCTGGGACCCCGCCCAATTGGCCATTTCGAGTCCTCTGCCCAGGCTCTATTAAGAGAAGAAACAAAACTGTGTTGGAAAATAATGTCTCTTAGAGGGAGCTAAGCTGGGAGGGAAGCATCAGAAAGCGAAACCGGCTCTTTGGGTCTGCGAGGTGAGAGTGAAAGTAAAGGTCATTTTTTGGTAAGAGACTCTGAATCTTAGTAAAAGTGGAAATGTGTGTTGGGGGAAGAGTGGAGGAGTTGAAGGTCAAGGGGGAAATTTGGTGGCTGCAGTAACTGGTTAATTTGTGAATGGACTCTGAGCCACATCAGTGGTTGCCTCTGATGAATAGGGGGCCAGAGAGGAAGTTTTGGGGTGTGAGGAAAGTCCAGAGAACGTGCTAATCAAATGTTCCATAAAAGGGACTACTGGGTAGCCATATTGATGCTTGCTTTAGTGCTTGGAAGGGCCACAGGAAGACACGCCACAGAAACCACGAGGCCGTTCCATGCACACTGGTGTGTGGTCACTGGCCCCAGAGCAGGGCATCTGGTTATCAGGCATTGTTTTGTGTCTCATGTGTTTAAAATTAGTTTTCTAAGCACTGCTGCGTATGCTTCAAAAAACAAAACCTCCCAAACTAAAAATAATACGCTTTCTAAGAGGAAAAGAAACATTATGCTTCTTACTGTGAGGTCATGATTTTCGCCTTAGGTAAATTCAGAGTGGGAATGTTTTACAAGAGTTTTCCAGATGAGCCCGTCATTGCCTCAGGCAATACACACATCTGTCTCCTCGCTGCTCTCCCAACCTGGTGTCCTCAAGGAAAGGACCTAGCCCTGGAGCCTGAAGGTCTGGATTCTAGATGTGCCTCTCCCATGAGCTAGCTGTGATTCGGGCAAGTACTTAGCTGGTTCCTGTCTAGTTGTTAAGCATCTGTTCATGTCCTCAGTGGCCACATACGGAGACGCTGCGATGTGCGTAAGGATCTCATCTTTCTCATGTGTAAGTGAAAGGAACCACCCTAGGGCACCTCTGTGTTGAAACTATAGAATTCATTTTAAATGTCACCTTCTTTTTTGAGAATTGAGATAAAACTCAAAGTCCTCTGATATGATACGTAAACTTATTATGTACTTATCAAAGCATCGGGCTATGTACTTTCAAATAATAGCCTATATTTTTTTTTCTTTATTGGATATTTTTACACTATAAAAGTGTGCCCATTTTAACAAGCAAACAACAGAGAAGATAAAAAGCAAAAGTTAATATTCCTCCCTCAGTGCCACCTTACTGTGATAATTAGTATTAACACCAGTACTCCACATTTTTATCTATGCTCATAAAAATATAAGTATATGTGATATATGATATTTATTTCCTTCTTTTCTTTTTTTGAGATAAAAATATAGTCATATTATACATTACTCTGCTAATTGTTTATTTTCCATTTCTCTAAACATTCTTCCAGGTTCATACATGTAGCTCTCACCAGTGACTTTTAATGACCAAATAATATTTGAAAATTATGACTGGATCAAATTTATTTAATCATTTCCCTATGATGGAATATCAGGTTTTTTCTAATTATTTTTTTCTTTTTAATGTCATTATAATCAATGCTATAATAGAAATATTTGTCTAGATATATTTTCACATACTGGTACTTTCTTTACAGAGAATAGATTTACCAAAGTTACATTGTCAGGTCAAAGGATGCAAGCGTATAAACTTTTAACAATACTTCTAGATTACTTTCCAAATTTGTATAGTGATTTTCATTTTATCAGCTATGTGTAAAAATTTTTATTTTCCTACAACCAAAGTCAGCTCTAGATGTATTAATATCTTAGCTAACAATGAGAATTCCATTGTTGCTTTAATTTGTATTTTCCTAATTACCAGTGATATTGATCACATTTCAATGTTTGTGATTCATTTGCCTGTTCTTTTCTATACTTGTTAGTTCTGGTTCTGGACTGGCTTTTTCTTATGGGTGTCTTTTCCCGGTCCCATGTGCAGTAGTTCTTTTCTTTGTCTGGTTAGCATTTGAACAAGGATAGGCGCTAGAGCAAAAATACAAAGCAAGCTAAAGGGATCAGGACTGTGGGGTGTTGGCCTCGGGAGATGGGGGTTGCAGTGTTTTACTTACAGCACCCTATAGCACCAGAGACTGCTTAGAAAGTCGTGGCAGTAATCCAGGTAGACAGGCTAGAGGGCTGGAGAGGGCGGTAGGTAGTGGCAGATAGGGAGAGAAAAGGTGTGATTAAAATTTAGCCAGTAGAAAGGGAAAGAAAGAGAAGGAGTTAGTTCAAGCACACCTCTAAGTTCTTTTAGGCTAATCAGCTGGAAAAAGTAGAGTTGCCCTGTATTGAGACAGGAAATCTGAGGGAGCAGCAAATTGGGAGGAGTTAGAGTGAGGAACTTGCCTGAGCCTCTTATTTTGGATGTCTTGTAGACATCTGCATGAAAACATCCTGTAGGCATGTGGGGTAGGCAGACATTGATGCAAGTAAGGCTTTTGCTAAACACTACTTGTGCTGTCTCATTTGGTCCTCACCTTAACACAGTAAGGGAGCTGTGGTTATTGCCTGATTCGTAGGTAACTCGAATATAATGGTGATCAACTCAGCTCTTAAAAATAATCTACAAAGTATTCATGATTGGCAGAGGCATTTTATCATAGACACATTACTTAATGTTCTGACTTTTTAAATACACATGTATTAAAAGATCTTGAAATGTCAGACGTGGATATATCCTGGACTTTTTCTTGTACTAAGCCCTGGAGTGTACAGAGCTGTCTAACATTGTATTTATGGGGGTTGCCCTTGACATTCTGAATCAAGGTAGAAATAAATTTCAGAATTGACTCCAAAGGGCGAAGAGCCCAGAGCAAAAAGATGTGGTCGGGTGGAGGAAAATCTCACTGGAAAAGAACTGTCACCTAGGGGCACATCAGTGACATGCCCCTGAGTGTGGTCTGGGGTTTTTGTTTTGTTTTGTCTTTTGTTGTTCCTTTGTTGGTGCAGCTAACTACTAACAATTGAAGAGAAAAAAATGAAGGGATGCTGTATGCTCAGAGACTTGTTCAGGAAAACAGCCTCAAGATGAGTAAAAAACAGTGATCAATGATGTATTTTATCTCAGAACATAACACAGACATTAAGCTTTGACAGATGTAAAGTAGGAACTTCTAAATCACAAAGAGAAATTAACATGTCTTAGGAAAATCCTAGAAAATTCCATTGAAGTTAAATCTCCTCAGGCTTGGTAGAAACAGGTGCGCCAATACACGATTTATAACAGGTACATGCCAGTGAAGTAAGCAGCTGATTTCAGGTAGATGCGATATTTCTTTACATCTGACTCGACACTATTTCGTGTCTGGTGATGTTGACACGGTCTATTTCACGGCTCTAACGCTGAGTTAAGATACTAGTGAATACAAACCAACAACCAACCCGCAGATTTGGGGAGCAGGGCCCTGTAGACGAGCCAGGCAAACACTGGGGGCGGTGTCATAAAAACATACTCTTTGTCTTGAGCCCTTGTTCCTGGCAGAGTTTCTGAAACCCCTGGAATTTCCTGTTTGGTAAGAGTGTCCTGTTATTCAGAAGGAGCTCTTTCTGACCGTACCTAAGTTTGTGCTAATGAAGGGACTCAGGGTGGGTGCCCTAGATGGCTTCAGGCTGGTGTGCCCAGAGAGGGGAAGGGGGCTGGGCACCAGCTCCCCGCCACCCCCACCTCGCTCTCTCCATTGCTCCCGTGTGGCTGTTTCTCAGTTGTATCCTTTATAACAAACCTACACATGTAAGTAAAATGTTTCCTGGGGTTCTGTGAGTCGTTCCAGTGAATTATTGAACCTGACGGAGGCTTTATGAGCCCTCCCCAAATTTATAACGGGTCCATCAGAAGCATAGGTGGCCCCTGAGACTTGCGACTGGCGTTCAGAATGGGCGCAGTCTCGAGGGACTGAGCCCTTAACCTGTGCGGTCTGTGCTAACTCAGGGTAGCTAGTGTCAGAATTCGTTGAATTGTTGGACTCCCATTTCGTGTTGGAGAATGGGTATGGAAAACAGATCACTCATTTGGTGTCAGAAAGAAGATGTCACAATGGATAGAAGTGATGTTTATGTGAACCCAAGCAGCAGCATCCACAGAAGGAATAGTGAGCCCAGCGGAAATACCAAGGCTCCGTCCGGACCAGCCTCGTCAATTCAGAGCAATGGAGTTACGGTGAGTCTCACACATACAGCAGGTCCTCACTCAATGTTGTCGATAGGTTCTGTGACTGTAAATGAAACTACGAATAAAGAAATCAATTTTACCACAGGCTAGCTGATAGGAACAAGAGTTAAAGTCCTGTGGTATCATCTCACCAACGTTATGATAAAACGGCGTTGAAGGAGACGATGCCGTTCGAGGACCTGCTGGGCTGGTTTGCCACGCTGAAGCTCGATAAAATAATTGCAGAAGAATCAAGGCCCTCTATGCCTTGATCCCAAGTGAGGAGAGAGAAAATCAGTGACATCATTTTATTGTGTGATTTGTATTTACTCACTCAACAAATATTTATCGAAGTTTAGTACAGGGTAAGCACTGTCCTAGATGCTTCTTGTTTCTTAATGTGAGAAAGAAGTCAGTGACAGACTTTTGAGTAATATATAGAATTATACCTAATTTTATATGACTGCTTCAAAGATAAAATTATTGAAATTTGAAATAGTTTTAAGGCAAATCATTTTCTATACCATAGCCTAAGTTGGTAGGCTGTTGGTCGCTTTGAATACCTCTGTATGATGATTGAATGCTTACTATGTGACAGGAACTGTCTCCATATTATGTTATTTAATACAGACAACTATTTTTAAACCCCTCAGGAAGATGAGAAAAGGAGGGTTTTGGAGAGATGAAGTAATTTACCTAAAATGTGTGCTTTGAATTCAGGCAGTCTGACTCAAGAAACCACACTCTTAACCACACTGCTGTTGTTTCAAGTGTGAAGCTGAGATAGTGGCTGCTCCTGTCAACACGTAAGGACTTCTGCCATCAGCCCTGCTCAGAAGGATAGGTGTGCGTTATACTGAGCCATTGATGAGAAGGGGTTTCACTACCCTCTAATAAATACGCGATATAATAAAGAAAGGAAACATTACCACTATCTCAGAGGAAATCAATCCTTTACTCTGGAACATTTCTAATAGCCTTAAATTAAATCAGGTTTGGTAATCAGATCTTGGATAATAAAAGTACTCACAGTACTTTTATAAGGGGAACACTTTCCAATATATTGCCTGGACTTCTAGATGCTGTAGGATACTAGCAGCTGCCTAATCCAAGTTCCTCCATACATTTTCCAACATCCTAACAGATCAACAGGAAGAGCAAATTAAAATCCATAAAAGACACATGTAGCATAAGTAAATGTCCTAGCCTGCTCAGGCAGCCATAACAAAGTGCCACACATTGGGAGCTTAAACACAGAAACGTATTTCTCACAGCTCTGGAGGCTGGAAGTCCAAGATCAAGGTGCTGGCAAAGTGAGTTTCATTTCATTCTGAGGCCTCTTCTCTTGGCTTTCTGATTGTGACATCTTGCTGTGGCTCATGTTACCTCTTGGCATGTGCTGAAAGGGAGCACTGGGGAGCTCCCTGGGGTCTCTGCTTATGAGGACACTAATCCTATTGTATCACCCACCCCCCTTCTGACCTCATTCAACCCTAATTATCTCCTCAAGGACCATCTCCAAATAAGTCACACTGGTTTAGGGCTTTAGCCTTGTTTAGCCTATGTTTGGGGGAACATAATTCAGTCCAGAGAAATAAGAGACAGACAATAATACTCCTACACATTTCAATCCCAAACCAACAGAGCTGGCTTTGGAAAGCACGGCAGAGCATGTTTAGTGAGGACGAGGCTGAAAAGAGGATAGAAGCCTGGGGGTGTAGTGAAGATGAAGTCTCCCCCAGCAAGAAAAGTCAGAAACAGATGCACGAAAGAAGCGAGTATGTACACTGCCCTTCCTGTGTGGTCTGCATCTCAGGATGGCCATAGAGTTTTGGGAGCAATTTCTTTTTATAGAAGTATTCCATATAATAAAGAAGTGGTAGACTGCTGCTATTTTACAAGAATAATGATGAATGGATGGACCTAGGCAATTACCAGAGGCTGATAACATCACAAAAAAAGAGATGCGCAAACTGGTCTTCCTTTGCTTGGGAGCATCGTGAAGTACACATCCAAAGTCTTAAGTTTTTCTATATGTTCACTCAACAATTGCACTTTTAAGAATTTACCCTAGAAAACAAAAGTGAATGTGCACAAAAATTTAAATTCAAGTATGTTTGTTGTAGCATTGTTCCTAATAGTAAAAGATTGAATTCAACCTAAATGTCTCAAAGAGGGAATCAGTTAAACAAATATCGATACAACTGTATAACTGGGAACGAGAGATAAATATTTACTTGGGAAAATATAATATACCTACGAAGAAAGTTTCGAAAACAGCCCTCACATTATGGTCCCATATTTAAAGAGAAAGATAAAGAGGTAGAGAGAGATTTGAATAATATCTATCAGTAGTTCTTTGGGTGGTGGGATTAAATGTGAGTTTCCTTTCTTTTTGGCTGTATTTTGCAAACACTAAAGCCTTTGCATAAATTTAGCACCTTACTGTTGCCACACATAGAAAGAACTTACTTATAACTCATGTTTTAACTGTTATAATTAGAAAATAAAAACTACTTTCAAAGGGAAAGAGAAAGAAAGGCAAGGAGGATAGGAAGATGGCACGGTGGCCGCTAATGTGTATTGATCAGAAAGTGTTGTGCTCAGCATAGAGTCGAGTGGCCGTACAGGCGAAATTAGCCCCACTTACCACTCACGCAGCAAACATGTCAGAGCACTTCCCACGTGCCACTCACTGTGATCTGTTCTTTTCCTATAAAGAGCAACTAGCCATTCAGCAGATAAGACACAGAAGCAACTGGGGATAACCAAGAACCACATACTGAAGTTTACGTCTCTGTGTAGCTTGGAACCCTACTCTACATTGAGATACAAATATAAAGAAGACTTCCCAAGCTGTGTAAAATATTAAACAACTATAAGTCTGATTATGGATAGCAGCACCCCAAGCATCATAGTCAGTATTCATAACAATGACAGTCTAAAGGGTCGGGGTTCTGCTGCTATTTTGTACATTTCCCTCTGTGTTTGTGTTCTAAAATCAAGCGTAATGTAGTGCAGAGTAAATTTTCAAAAGGCAAATCACCTGCCCAAATGCTATGAATCTTAAATTTTATTTTTCTTTTTTAATGTGCTGGTATTTTTGGCAATAATTGAAAACACCAACCTGGTAATAGAAAGAGAATAATGGGACCTACATGGTTAGTGCGATGAAAGGAACTGTGTTCAGAGAGCAGCTCTCTGGCAGAGAACCATTTTTGAATGTGAGACAGCAAAATGGTTCCCTAGTCCAGTTGCTTCGAATAGTGAGGTCATGTGTGATTTCAGTAATTATAATTCTATCTAACAGAGCACTAGATTCAAAATATAAAGTGTCGTCTAGAGTACTATATCAATATACAAATTAGCAACTACTATAAATGACTAAAAGTGAGGAATCAAATGTACTTCAAACAAATTCTGAACATAATCTGCCTGCTCTCTAAAGCAAACCTGTGTTTGAACACAGACATACATGGTGTTCAAAGCAGAAACTTACCAGAGATGAGAAAAACAATTGGCTGAGGGCATTAAATTAAAATTTTCAATTTATATGAAGGCATAAAAGAGAAAGAGCCAAACCAAAACCAAACTGAAGTTTCCAAACTTGAGTCCCTTCATTTTTTACCCCATTATTTCCTCAATGTATTTATATGACTTCCTGTCAGAGCAGCATGAAGAGAGTCACCAATTTGTTGTTTCTAAATTGCCGTGAAAACCGAATTTTGCTACTGTAACATCTTCCATCATGTTAATTGGCTTTGAACCATGTCAAGTTCAAGCCATGGAAAATTATTGTACTGCCTGCCTCAGAAGGCTCAGCGTGATGTTTAATTACCGCGTTGGAGGAGATGCCTTTAGCTTAAACTCTGAAGACTTCTGCAAAAACAGCAACTCCTTCAGCTGGCCACATGATGTCTGTGGGCTGCCTGGGGCCTCCGACAGGCCTCCAAGCAAGCGCTGTGCCTCCACAGTTCATGTGAAAGCTGTCAGATCCCATCTGCAGACACACAGATTTCATGCTGAGGGTAGAAGTACCCGTCCTTCTCAGGAAAGGGGATAAGGAGATTGGAGAATTCTAATCTGGTATTCTTTCCAACAGTATCTCCCCAAAATGCTTTCTAGCACATAGTAGGAGCTTTATAAATGATTGTTGCATTGGATCAAACAAAAGGTTAAAGTAAGCATAAAGTCTGGAAACCTGACAGGACAAAGGGACACTACAGATACCTTCTCGGGCAGCATATGAGCTAGGCTGCAGCGGATGGAAAGTCTGTGTTCATCCCAGGGCCTCGGTAGGCATGGAAGAGGCTTTTCTGAAATGGGCTTTATAGAGTCTGGCTGAAAACACCAGTTACCCAAGAGCCCCTTGTTTTAAATCTCTATGAATTTATCCATCTACTAAAAGTTCATTTTACTTAGTATAACATAGACACATGGTTGAGGTGCTACTTTCTTACTTTGGAAGAAAAGAGACTGAATCAGACTATTGTTCACAAAGTCAACATGACTTTGATGTTTATAGTTTGAACTATAATTTCTGAAAAACTGACAAATTTGTTTCGTGAACTTTAATATTGAAACTATTTAAAGCATGACTAAGAGTTAGTAAAATTTATGAGAAAAAATTATGATTTGTGATGTTTTGTGAGTCATTGAAAACTCTTCTTCAGTGCTTCAAACTTAATTTCTCTTCTACCCAACAAAACGATATGAATGGACAAAAAATAATCTTTCTGAGGAAGTAGACGTAAAATTAACTTCTCTGCAGCATGGACGGCAGCTACATAAATGGCCTATTTTTCTGCCTTTCCAGAGTAGATTAATTTAGGGTCAGGTGAGATGGTTAAAAATAAAGAGGCCAAAAGAATTGTAAAAATGCTGATGATATCATAAATGAGATCATTTTAGCTTTTGCTTACCACATACATAGTCTCCTTCAATGAAAACATCTGCCTGTCACCCCATAAACATCCCTACACTTCTCTTCCCTTTATGAGCAAAAAGAA